TAAAATAACAGTTATCTTTTTAAGTAAAGGCAAAAGTCGTTATCATTCTGCCAGTTATAAGATTTTATACAGACATCTACATTTTTTTCTTTGAGTGGGACTAATTAAAGTTTATCTTATAAACTTTGCAAGTTTATTAAATTTTAATGAATGTTATAGCACATAGTTGAAAGTTATGTCTGTATGACGTAAAGACGTAAACAAACGCTACTAAATAAGGCAAAGTCGAGGTTAACGGGAACTTTTAATTGCGATCATTTTACTTGCGAGTTATATTTATTTCATAAGTTATGATAACATAAGGTAACAGATAAATGTATTTACTATGTATTATTTGCTATTTGCTAAATTACTTAAAAATATACTTAGAGAAACCCGTTGAAAACGTAATATTTACCACAGAACAGTCCATTATATCCGCAGCGTATTCTCCCCGGGATGTGGAAAATTTTCTTTATTTATGGCAACACTTAAAAGTATCCCTCGCGGACACAAATATCCGTCTGGCGGATCCTGCCATATGTCACCTGTTACGAGGATATATCTCCCAGCATCCTCAGTGACGGATACCCCTTGTTATGAGCTTGAAGATTTGTTACTTACCCCCTCTGGTACTGATTAAACTTTATACTTCTTGATATGAAACATTACTTTAAACCTTCCTGAAGCTAGAAAAGCAAAAATATTTCTAGCTGTATCACTAGATAACCTTAAAGTATTTATTTATCCTTTTTATTATTATATTTAAAGCCTTCTCTGAGTACAGGCCATCTCCAACATGTGCCATCTGTCCCTATCATTTCCCTGTTTGATCCTATTTCTTCTCACTTCTTGAACTGTATCGTCTTCTCAACGCTATTTTTGGCTACCGATTTTTCTTGCACCTTTTTTTTATTAGATTTTTACTTTAACTTATTTATTAAATTCATATACATGTTTACGATGTATGGGCCGAGACCAGTCTCTTTAAAACTGTATCCAAAAAACACTTGCATTGTTATAGTAAGGAGGCATATCTATGTATACACAGTATTCGCAATTTTTGATGGTGAATAGGGGTTAGTTATCTTGACACGGCATCACCCGGATTGGACAGCTGACGTACCCGGGTATACCCAGCTCGCACGGTTCAAATCTTCCGTTATCCGGACGAAAAATCTCTTAATAGACATGCAAGGGGATACAGAGGCCGTTCATTTTCTTCGTTATTATACGTTTATTTCGTTTTTATCTGAGACAATTTCTGTTTATTTTTGGGAGCAAAATGAACATCCATTTGCCCAAAATAAATAGGTATAACAATATTAAGATGCACCAGTTTGATAACAACATTATAAGCTACTATTCAAATATTTAATCTCGTAATTATTATTGTAAGTTGGTTAGAAATGTGTTACACGTATATTTATGTAATCTGTGATATTCATTTAAATTAATAAAATGAAGAATTCAGATATAACTCCAACTGTAATTGTTAAAATTATTTTACTTTTTATAAAATTTAAATCATTGAAACAAAACAAAACAGTTTTTTTTGGCAATATAAAGGTGATAATTACCAAATAAATTATATAGGAGGTTAATGCCCGTGTTTCTTAATATCGGGATGATAGATCTTTGATGAAGCTGTAACCTAGCTCACTGCATACTCTCAATTGTAACACTTACGAAACTTTTATACCTGTTACTCCTCCTATGATAGTTTATTTTGTTTACTGCGTTGTGTATAGTCAGTGCAAAATTATATTTCTATGTTTGTAAGTTGCTGGTTGCTTGTGTCGTGACCGGCAGATATCTCGTCGTGGATCTGCCAGGAAACCTAACTAGGTGGTGCTCGTGCGCTTGCTTATTTCCTCTTTCACTACACTGATAAAGGAAACGTAACCTTTTTAATAAAACGATGTGTTTGTATCTACAATCCGCATAAGCGATAAAAGTTATAATAAAAGCTTTTTCTTACAATTATGTATATTTTATACTACCTCTTGCCCGCGACTCCGTCCGTTAGGAATTATAAACAAACTTAATAATTAGCCTAGTGTTATTTCAGACTATGCTCTACATCTACGCCAAATTTCAGCGAAATCCATGATGCCGTTCTGGAGATACCTTCTAACAAACATCCATCCATCCCTCCATCCATCCCTCTAAACATTCGGAATTATAATATTAGTAAGATTTTGTATTAATGGCCAAAAAGTTTAGGTTACATTTAATTAGCACATAACTATACTAGTAACTAAATATGTAAAGAGTGTAGTTATCTCCTTCCCCCTTTTGTCCGTTTAATTGACGTAAACCGACTTATAAAGAAAAAAGTTATCAAGTTAACTATCTATCAAGGACACAGGAGGGAGCCACTAGCAAACACAAAACTGGCAATTACTTAATCCGAACAATTTATAACGTCAATCATTCTATTAAGCTTAATTATTACTTACAACTTAATTTTAGTTCGAAACTTTTTGTTACTTCAAACTAAGTTGCTAATGAAATTTATTAGGCTACTAATAATTAACTTACTATAGTTAACAGCTTGTTCACAGGAAGCTAAGATATTTTATAGCTTCTATTAAATATACCCATCATTCTAAGTATAGATATTTATAAAGAAAAGTAATCCTTAACATAGATTTCTTTTTCTTTATATCAGAAGGTGGCAAACGAGCAAGCGGCCACCTGAAATCGCTGGAATAGCGAGGTGACCGTTGCCCATAGACATACGAAATTGCATATGCGTTGCCTACCTTTAATCGACGGAGGAGAGTATGCACAGAAAGAAAATATTTTCCCTTTCCATGCATCCTCTCATCCGGAAAGTCCACTTCCACTTCCCATCCTTTCCTTATAAGAAAGAGGGTGGGAAGGGAAAGAGGACTATATAAGGCCTCCGGGAGGCACACTCATCAGACTGTACGCGGAATTGCTTCCACTTGATGCCTGTCTTCTGTGTGGTCATGGTATTTCACCGGGCGAGCCGGGCCAATTCATGCGAAGATGTTAAAGCGGGCTCTACCACTGTTATACCGTGCGTAGCATTTTAATATATGATAAATGTAAAAGAATGGTCATTCAAAAGGAAAAGTCGGAACTAAGCCAACTGGAGCAGGCGGTCAAGTCGCCTTTGTACCTATGGAAGGATCTTTCTATTTACAATACATTCATGTACCTTTTATAAGTTCTTTTGCAAGGAAACTTTACGAGAATATCGAATATATAATTTAAAAAAAAACGTAGTAGCTTATGTGTTCTTCCAGATTATGTTGTCCCCTAATCCCATTTTCCCAAAATTCAACAGTCTAAACTTTCACATTTATAATTTGACTAAGATTAAAGATAATAAGCAATTCATGGTTCGCTATTTTAGTTAGTTTTGTCTTTGTTAAAAATTATAAAGTTATACGATAGGCATAGATAAAGAAAGTCAAATAATTAAATATTCAAACCATAGTCTAATCTTTTAAACAAATTTATAGCTTTTAAATTTGAATTTGTGATTTGTAATTTTATTACAACGATACCAAGAGTAATATTATCACTTCGTACTGTTACTTGATAAAATCTGTGTTCCTTTCATAGGTCAATAACCCCAAAACATCGATGTATGTACCCAGGTGTTAGATATCACCAACTATGATAAAACTCAATAAGATAAACCTTCTTTAAATATATTTTTATCCAAATATTGTCTTATAACTTCTAAGACTGATTGAAATCCATCTTATTATGTATAAGTCTCTTAAATAATAAACTTTAATTTTAATAACGAAGTAATGCACCATTAGCTCTATACTCATAGAGAGTTATAGCGCTGCTTTTAGTGTTAGCAAACTTCTCTTTACTTAAAGCCGAAACACAATGAACTAATATTAACGCTAAAGTTTAATTCAACAGACCACTATTTAACGTCCAGTCGTTATGTTTTTAACCTAACAGTATGTTAACACATCCAAAACTGGTAAAAATGCAATGTTTTGTGTTGTTTCGACGGTGGAGACTGACGGTTAGCTGATGTTTATTCCTCTTTCTGTAGTTAACAATATTTATGAATGCGGTTATAATTATATAAATTATTGTAATTACAATAACACTGGCTCATAACACTCGTGATATTGTCTATAAAAACCGCAACAATAAATTAAATGATGCTAACGAACCAGGAAACCATTCGTATAATAACAATCCAAATATTAAACACTTCTGTTCCCCCAATAGATTATGTCACCGTCAGATTATTAAATTCGACAAATTATATTTTAACAATAAAAGAAGTTATTTATGAAAGTAATAAAGTTCTCGTACAGAAAGTGATATAGATTGCGGTGACAAACCACACAGACTTGCTATATTTTTTGCGTCATGGAATGAACCATTGGCGTGGAAAAAATATTATGTTTAAAAAAGTTCGCGGTCTATTCCTGGTATCCATAGAGTAAATAATACGTACACACTACTTAAATATAAATATGGATTCTTTCTCAAGTTCATATAGAATTAGAATTGAACCTAATGTTATTGATAATTTAATGTAGAGCTTTTATAGCTTCGATTTCAATTAAAATTAAAATAAATATCCGATTGAAAAAACAATGAGACATCTGATAATTGTCATGATATCAATATTGCACATGACAACTGATAAGAGCGACCTCCACGATGACATTAGTATACTCTGTAACCCGACCTGCTCGCACAAGGCCGGCCCTACAAGGTCACTGCCAATACAAGATCCCTTCGCGGTCCGCTCGCACGTCGCGCCTCGCCCGCGCATCGTAAATCCTGTTCCTTAGATAATCCGCTACAGGACAAGGGTACATGTGTGTAGTCATACAACGTCTTATATGACAAAAGCTTAAACAAACAGGTTAGTTATATTAAGTGCAATCGTTTTTTATATACAGAATACAGAGGTAATCGTTGGCTGCAGTTTTATGAGCTTTGACATTTACGACTTCGATTTTTTTTATAATTTCTTAAGTGTTTATTTATCATGATTGCAGCGCGTACGAGCATTCACAACATCACTGGAGGAGCTCGCCGCGCGTGTACAGGCGGCGGAGGCAGCCCGAGCGAGCTGGCGCGCGCCGGGCGACGCGAGGGATGCGCGCGCGCAGCTCGACGCGGTGTCGCGGGCGCGCGCACAGCTTCCGCCCCTGCGCCGGCTGGCCGACGAGCTGCGGGCTCAGGCCCAGCACCTTGCTAGAGACAATGTACAACTGCCTGACCACTTGAGAGCAAGACTCGACGACCTAAACGCTAGGTAAGTCATAAAAAACCCTGACAGTTATCACTATAACACTCCGAAAAGAATAGAAATCGAATGACACCTCATTCGTCAAACTGGATTCAGACGCTTAGGCTAGGGAATAATTTTTTAAGGGAAGATATCTACATAAAATCCCATAAAACCTTTACAATTCTAAGGAAGTCGGTTAAACTATAATACTATCTTTTAATAACTGCCTATATAAAATTTGCTTTTGGTTGAACATCTGACATAAATATTGTAACACTATGCTCTTCCCTACACTGAAACGTGCTCAGTGTGCGAAGACCTTGCCCCGGCGGCGCGCGACCTCAATGCCTGGCGAATGTCAAGCGTGCCATGTCACGCTAGCCTACGCCTGTCATGTTGTACACGCTCACTGAAGCTTCCGACTGTATGAATAGATTCAATGAAATTGTATTGATGAAAGAAACTGCATGTTGGCTGTATTGAACGTGAACTAGTGTTGTATTGTGACTGCATACGACTACGTTTCTATTTGTGTCAGTAATTTGGGTAAATGTGTATTGCAGAGTGTCGGCTTTGAGCGCGGGCGGAGAGGAGCGCGCGCGGCAGCTGGCGGGCGTGGCGCGCGATGGGGGCGCCGGCGCCGCTCAGGGCTTCCTCGCCGGCTCCGTGCGCCCGCCCTGGGAGCGCGCCGTCACACCCGCCAATGTGCCCTACTACATCAAGTTAGTACCATCAGCTCACCACCACGCAATGGACAACACATAGATAGATTTATAAAAAACAGACTGATACTAAGATTTATGCTAGAACTTTACCGGCGCATTTAGACTAATTCATACCTTTATTTAGTAGATTTCTCGTATTAAATCTACACAACGACTATGAGTGCGATAGTTAAGTTAAAGAACACGGGAAAATTTTAAATATTGACCGTTCGGGGCTAGTTATGTTTGCTGGCTCCAGGAACTTGTTTAATGTCAATGTAAATGGAACTATATCATGTTCCAGTCACGAGCTGGAGACGACGCACTGGGACCACCCAAAGATGATCGAGCTGATGACGTCACTGGCGGACCTCAACGAGGTGCGCTTCTCCGCGTACAGGACCGCGCTCAAGTTACGCGCCGTACAGAAGGCGCTCTGCAGTAAGTTCTACCACAAACCTATAATGTATACAGGCTGTTTACATAAACACAGTCGGTTAATTCCTAGAATTTTTGCTAATATCAAATAAAGTTGTAAAACTTAAGTATGTTAAAACTTAAAATTCATGGAGCCATTCCATCAATACCTAACAATGATACAAATAACACAAACCGCCCACCTCCTGGCATCACAACACGGGAGATTGCAAAGTACATGAATATGAAGTCAACAAGGACAGGGGAGGGGACAGTGCCATGGTAAAGTGATCCTCGGAGCTGCATACATTATCGCGCGAGCGTGATGTCGCATGAATACGCAACCATGAATATGCAAGCAGATATGCATATGCAATGCTATGGGAAACATGCAGGATAAAGATTTTGAAGTTTATAAGACGTTTTAAAAATACCATTACGAAGAAAATCATAAAATATTTAGTTATTTCTTTCGTATCTGTGACACACTGGACACTTTTAATTATATAAAAGGGATAAACCAAGAATTTATTTAGATATTTTTCATTTAAGAAGTGTTTATGTTGCTCGCGACGTTTTGTTGACATTTAGTTGTAACGTTGTGTTACAGTGCACATGCTGCAGCTGGGCGGCGCGCTGGACGCGTTCGACGCGCACGGCCTGCGCGCGCAGAACGACCGGCTCATTGACATCCCTGACATGATCACCGTACTCACTTCGCTCTACGAGGTACACTCGCCTCAGTTAGCGGTGTTACACTTACGAAAATAAAATGAGATCTTAAAAAATAGTAAATTAGGATCCTATAGGTATTTGATCAAATGACAAATGTAGATTGCCGACATTGCACATCTGAGTACTGTATAGTACGCTATTGTTACAACATTATTGTAGCGTTTTAAAGCGTACAAGACGATCAAAGCACTATCGTTTTAGAGGTGGACGACTTCAAACAAACTCTATAGTAATTACTGTAAATATTAACATCGGTAAAGCAACAAAAAGGGTTGTGCTTGTTCATCATATGAAATGTTTGTTGTGGTTGTGCCCAGGTGATAGCTGCGGAGAACCCGAGTCTAGTGAACGTACCGCTGTGCCTGGACCTGTCGGTGAACTGGCTGCTCAACGTGTACGACAGCCAGCGCACCGGACAGATCCGCGTGCTCAGTTTCAAAGTCGGCCTCGTGCTGCTCTGCAAGGGACATCTCGAGGAGAAGTACAGGTAACATACCGACAACTGACGTCACTGTACCTCAACACTTCGGGAAAGAACACTAATTGAATACCGTTTTGATTTAGAATAAAATTCATTCGGTCCAAATAATATATTAACCGCAGTATTCGTATAGAGATCAGTTTTTTGACCGTTTTTAATTTCAAATGATTATAAATCTTATATCTATGAGAGTAAATTTGGATTTACAATAACATTGCAGGTATCTTTTCCGTCTGATTGCGGATCCGTCCTGCCGCGCCGACCAGAGGAAGTTGGGCTTGTTGCTCCACGACTGCATACAAGTATGTTATATGTTATTGATGGATATCACTATGTTTTATCAAACACACAGCTACTTAATATTTTAGGAACTTTTTTCTTACTTATTTGCAATTGTTTTTCAGGTTCCAAGACAGCTGGGCGAAGTCGCAGCCTTCGGAGGGTCCAACATCGAGCCCTCAGTGCGCAGCTGCTTCGAGCAGGCCTCCGCCGCGGGCAGGGAGGGCGGCAAGTCGGCCACGCTCGACAGGAAGACAGGTGAGGGACATACACAACAGTACTTTACATCGATAATCATGTTAAGTTTATTGTATTTAACAGATTAAATTTAGAAGAAGATAAACCTAATCACACCGAAATCGAAAAAATCGGTTGAAGCGTTTCATCTCCAGGCCGTCACAATGAAACTTACATACATACAATGAACATTACCCGTATAAAATTATTCGGTTTTCTAATATCGATGTATCAATGTTTAGTCGGAGAGAAGGACAAGGAAAAGGAGAAGGAGCGCGAGAAGGAGAAAGAGGACAAAGAGAAGAGCGTGGAGCGGGACGCGGAGGGTCAGCTGCAGCACATCGAGGCGTTCCACTTCCTGCAGTGGCTGCAGAAGGAGCCGCAGAGCATGGTGTGGCTGCCCGTGCTGCACCGCCTGGCCGCAGCTGAGGCCGCGCGCCACCAGGCCAAGTGCAACATCTGCAAGGACTACCCCATCGTCGGCTTCAGGTATACCTACACCCGTTGCTGACAAACACAGCTGTATACAAAGGAAACGGATGCGATGACAAACTTTTTAGTGAAAGCACACAAGGAGAGAGAGAGAAGACTCTTCTTAGGAGATAAGAGGAGAATAAAAATTTAATAAACACACGAGATTAATTTTGATTCTAAATTGTTATGATATATTTGCCAGGTACCGTTGCCTGAAGTGCTTCAACTTCGACATGTGCCAGAAGTGCTTCTTCAGCGGCCGCAAAGCCAAGAACCACAAGCTGACGCATCCCATGCAGGAGTACTGCACCGCGGTCAGTTGTACATACGAGTATATACACGATGCATCTATACCATAGTCAATTCCTGTTGACAACAACACAACCAACTCAGTGACCAATGTACAAGTACAACTTAGTATTATTGTGTGCAGACGACGTCTGGCGAGGACGTGCGCGACTTCACTCGCGCGCTGCGCAACAAGTTCAAGTCTGCGCGCTACTTCAAGAAGCACCCGCGCGTCGGCTACCTGCCCGTGCAGACCGTGCTCGAAGGTATCCACCGCTGCTTCCCTCGCCGGCATCACTTTAAATGTCCGTCTTGTTGTGTGCTCGTGTTGCTACCTGTGTGTCTGTGTGCAGGAGACGCGCTGGAGTCTCCGGCGCCGTCCCCGCAGCACGGGGGCGGGGCGGGGGGCGGGCAGGGTGCGGGGGGCGCGGCAGACGACATGCACTCGCGCCTCGAGCTGTACGCCTCCCGCCTCGCCCAGGTCGAGCTCGGCGCACGCGCTGCTGACACGCCCGACAGGTAAACAACAACATTCGACTGGATTCAGTCTTTCCATCCAGTTGGACGTTTACTGAGCCTTTATGTGCTCGTTCCAGCGACGAGGAGCATCAGCTGATAGCGCAGTACTGCGCCTCCTTGAATGGCGGCGGAGACGCGGAGGACGCGCCGCGCTCGCCTGTGCACGTCGTCTCCGGCATCCACCGCGAGCAGAGACACGAGCTGGAGGCCATGATACGGTACGCCCCGCCCCCTGACACGCATAGCCCCGCCCACTACCAGACACTGCACATACCACATTTCTAACTTTTTTAAAATACATCATCGTGTGCATTGCACACGTGCAGCGAGCTGGAGGAGGAGAACGCGAGCCTGCAGGCGGAGTACGAGCGGCTGAAGGCGAAGCAGACGCCGGGCTCGACGCCGGAGGAGCCGCTGGGCGAGCGCGGCGGCGCCGGGGAGCAGGACATGATGGCGGAGGCGCGGCTGCTGCGCCAGCACAAGGGCCGCCTCGAGGCCCGCATGCACATCCTCGAGGAGCACAACCGCCAGCTCGAGGCGCAGCTGCAGCGCCTGCGCACTCTGCTGCACGAGGTACCCCATCCCCCTCCCCCACACGCCTCCTCCAACACTAGAGATGTCTGTACTGAGAGTTGGTCGTTTGTGTGTCAGCCGTCAGGTTCCCCGCCGGCGCGGACCGGCACGCTGCAGACGCGCTCGGTGACCGCCTCGCAGCTCGCCACCGACTCCCCCGCCAAGCTGCACAACGGACTCTACCACGACCCGCACGCAGGTCAGTATTAGCTTCATTATTGTTCAACTACGACCCCACCTGATGTTCAGTGATGATGTATTCCTACTCAGACTCGTTAATTAATCATTACGAGTGACCTTTACTTTTAATTTCTCATACTAAACGCGACAGTTAACCTGAGAGCGGAATATCTCAATACTTTAAGTTGTACAAGACTTGTTAACAAAAGACGTGTACGAGGTAGAGGTAGAGGTAGAGTGACATACATAAGGCAGCATACTGAGACACACGCAGCAGCAGGTGGCGGGCGCGGGGAGCGTGAGGAGCGTCCTCCGCCGCCGCCGCACGCGCTGCACTCCCTCATGCACTGCGCAGGTCAGCTCACCTCCTCTCTCCAGCTCGTCCTACTTTGTGTGCCGGTTTTTGACAAAGTTTTCGCATGTTTCGCTTCGATTTATTTTCTTTGTTGTTTAATAGGTTGGCTTTTTAGAAGCAGTTTTGTTAATCGGTATTTTATAGCATTTGTTTTCTACAGACCTCATCGATCTGTTAATGAAAAATTGGTCAAATTTCTTGGTACGTTGATTTTTATGGCTTTGTTAGTTGACTATTTGTTTTGCAGTTTTTGTTGTTAGCGGCTGGATTCTTTTGTTTGATTAGCATGGTTGTTGCATGGTTTTCTTGTTGTCTCGTTATATAATTGTCATTAATCAAAGGTTGTTTTTTTTTTTAACGCAAACCTATCAGGACGTATACCGTGAGGTAATATTTATTGATATCATCGTATATTTATTTTCTTTTAACTTTAGGTACGTCAGTCACCATTTAATTTTATTACAGACAAAGCCTAAATAACCACCATTAGTACTGACTTACTCTACGTGTTTACTTTACATATGTGAAAATGGCCATTGCATCAAATTAATATTCATAGAAATTTCGCAAATATCTGTTTATAATTTGTCAAAAACGTATTGTTTCGTCAGATGATCTCGGTCGCGCCGTAGAAGAGCTAGTGTCGGTGATGTCTGAGGAGCAGCCGGGGCCGGCCGCACCGCCGGACTACGCCAACACCAACGGCAACACTAACAGCAACGGCAACAGCAAGGCCGCAGACAGCGACACCAAGGAGTAGCCGCTGCTCCGCTCTGCATTCACCACTCGGTGCTGCCTGCGGCGGGGACTTGTCTAGTGGTCCTCGCTCGCGGCTAGATTCCCGCGCTCTAGCAACACTTTATCACGCCAAAGAGTTTTTGCTACAATGGTATTGCTGCATCTTTGTTATAGCAACACTAAACTTCTATAAAAACTCCCCGAAATGGGGAGAAAAACTCAAAGCTCTAAGCAGATGGCGCTAGCGTCGTGTGGACTGTCAGCTGTCAAACTTTTATACGTCCTTCTAGCGATTTAAAAAATGCATTCCTTTTTTCAATTTTTAATCATAAATAATTTATGAAGCAAAATTTTTTTTTAAAGAAATTGAAAGGAAATCGTTGCGATGACTACATTCCACAGAATACTTTATAAATAAAATAAAGTGTTTCCTATGTGTGTGGTATGTTTAGTGCAACTTCCGCTTTTGTTTGTGCTGACATCTATAATGAGCAAATGGTAGTTTTTCTCCCCTTTGCACTAATATATTATATTTTTCAAACTAATCTACCACATTCGAAGCCATTAAAGGTCTCTCGTAAGGTTAATTGAGATATACCTACATAAATGTACTTTTTTCTGAGCAATTAATGAGTGTTGTGGTAGTTGTATACTAATTTTCGGCTCATCACTAACACCAGCGCACGTCCTGTGTCGTACCACCTTATTATACAAGAGCACTAACACTTCATGATCAGCTACTAAAAGCGAGCCCGCCCGCGCTCTGCGGGAGTCAGGTCAGGTCCGGCCATGCGGGGCTAAGTGCGGCGACAGTTAGCCCCTAATGTCTGCGGGTTCGCGGGACGATATCGTATGCAACGCTTATTGTATAAATAAGGGCATGCCATTGTTGCACTACGCGTCGTGATTGAGTCATTACTATTTATTCTTCGCTTTATCGAACTATTTATCTATTTTTACTCGCGGCGACACTTCCGTGTTGCTGGAGCGCGAATCTCCACTCGAAAAAGACAAAATGTAACGAGCATTTATATACTTACTTAAAATGTACCAAAATTGTCTATAAAACATTTATTAATCGTTTAAGTACATATCTTGTTAGTACAATCTTCATGTAATCATATCACTTTGTAAATTGTGTCATATCATTTTGCTGTGTATAAAATTGACGCGTGTAAAAATAAATCAGGAATATCAAACGAATAGCGAGTCGATTTTTTGTTGCAATCGAGATATCGAACGAGACGGCTTCATATCAGCTTTAAATATCAGAACTTTAGCTTTAAATGACCTGTTTTGAGACATTTTATGAAACCGGTTGATTGTAACCAAAGGCGGGAGGGACGCGGCCTATGTTTTAGGTGAAGTATAGAGGAAGTGGGTCACGAAGTTGTGTGCCGGAGTAGCGTAGTGTAGACAAATATCCGTGCTTGTTGTATGTTACATGTTATCGATTTATCCAAAATGTATCGTTAGTTGGAATATAAATAATCAAGCTTCTACGCGGCGTAGATTTTTCTGCGCGGGAAAGTTCCCATCGCAATTGTTGCTTAACTTTTGAATATTTTTAATGAAGTTTGTACAATATTTGCGTGAAGAATATATAAAACATATCTGAAGCTTTTAAAACATATCATTGTTGTAATTGTTTGCGAAAGTTAACCAAAATGCAAACATTTTTATATGTCTCTCCAAATAACGATTAGTTTATTTTTAATGACATTGTTATTTGAATCGTGCGAATATAATGAATTTCAAAAGCAAGAAGTTTTAATTAATTGACATGGCAAGACATTGTGATGGGAACTAAACCTCTATCTCCTATTATTTGGGGTCTGAAGCAGTAGAGACTAAACATTTTAGAGTAAACATGTATCCAAAAGTTTTTTCCACTATCCACGACATGTCTTTTGTAGGGTATTTGTACGGATGCGATTATTTTCATATCGCGGTCCGTTTTCAGAGGTTTTGTAAGTTGTCTACTGTAAGGCGCCTACCTTTTAGATAAGATATATTCGAGAGATGACTTTTATACGACTGTTAAGTGAACTGTTGAAGCTAACTATATAATTAAGTACTTCCGATTTAACCATATCAGGTTATCAGTTTATATTTTATTGACGTGTGCCGACATTTTGTTTTTTTGTAAGCGACAAGAGGCAGCACGAAATGTTTTTGACGCTGGCAACTATTTACTTGTTCTTATTATTATTTGGCTAATATAGATGTTAAGAAAAAAAGCACAATTTATTGTAACCTTAACGAATGAAATATTATTATAAAATCTACACTAATTATATTGTTATTAATATTATTTTACTTGTTTAATGTTTACAATTTAGTTTTTTTTTTTGTTTAAAAATTATTTTAAATGATACTTATTGGCAACTATTATATTAAAACATACTTAATATGTACTTTCGCATTTATTTGTATATTATTTACTGCGTTTATAATATTTTAGAATATAAATCCAAATAAACATTCTGCATAGTTATGATCTGAGACTTTTTATTTCCCTCTTCAACTTGTTGTAGTCACATAATCCATGATGCCAGTATGGAAATCTGCAAAAAAGTTCTCGTAACGTACAGCGCCTCTATCGAGCGCAAAGTACAACGACAAATCTTATAAAAAAATTGTTGATGACGCTACGAACACTTTCTCGCAAACTTTCGTGCTAGGCCTCTGGACTATTTTGTAGGTCTAAAAGCAAAAACATCAAGTAATTACATTACATTGACTTTAGTCCTTTCAAACAGACATCAAAAACGTTATCCACAATCGATATATAGTAAAATATTAATACCAAAGGATGATATGGTGGATACGAGAAGTAAAATAACAAGATAGTTAATAATATTTATTTATTTGGTTAAATATAATGTTTTAACTAAACCACTACTTTTCGTATACTAAATATTACTTTGCACCTTTACCATACTTATGGATATTTGAACAAAATCCAAAGTTTAAGCATTTTTGGCTCTCAATTAACTCTTTGAAACAAAAATACTGTCAGGAACAGGCTTGAAATAATTCTTATAATAAAATTAAAAATATACAAGAAAATTAATTAACCAATAGACATATAAGGATTTAACTAATAACGAGGCAAATTAACTGTTTTAAAAATGGCAATACATAACAGCTTTATGTACAGAGGACAGAGGGTAACTTTCTACAGAATTATATATTTTATTTATCAGTCAATCAGATTATGTATTTTAAAGAAAATATCCCAGAGAAAGTCAGAGTGTGTCACGGGGTACAAATATAAAAATATTTTATACATGAATTTATCAATAAAATTTAAATTAAAACATATCAAACACCTTTTAGCCTTATTACTTCAAAATGCATATCTTTTTGTTTATAAATTAAATAATAATATTGCATATACAAGATAAGCAAACAGATGTTATAAAATAATCTTATTTATCAAATTAAATATTTTATCAATATGACCTCGTAAGAACTATACTCGAACAGTTGCAGAATTACTTCCAAGGCCATTCATAACATGCTGTATGTTAGACTTAGGTCTTCTGAACAGTAAGACATGGGGTTCAGGGTTGTGGACCATGAAATGCAGCCAGCCGGGACTCTGCTGCACCCCCAGGTTGCGCCACTCTGTCTCCGTCATTAGATGGGACTTTGGCACCAGTCTAGCGAGATCTGGTGGCAGGATCACATGCCTGGAATAGTGTTTAAAACCTTTGTAATCATAGTAGTATATTGGTAAAGGATACATTTATAAACAAACCATCCATCCATGACAAATTATAAATAAAATTAATTAATTAGTAGCCCTTTTCTTCTAAACTATGCTCTACATCCATTCCAAATTTCATCGAGATTGTTGAGTTATTCTCGAGATACCTCGTAACAAACATCCATTCATCCAAACATTGACATTTATAATATTAGTAAGATTAACATTAAAATCTATGGAATGTAGACTGATTCTTTCTGAAAATTATCATAATTTCCGTTTTTTTATATCTGTACTAATATTAACTAATAAACTCAAAAACTACTGGACCAATTTCAAAAATTATTTTGTCATTAGAAAGCTAAATTATCATTGAAGCTCATATTTTTGAAAGGTTCTTTTTAACTCTGTGTGGGTAAAGTTGTTAGCAAAAGCTAGTATAAAATAGAGTGAGAAAAACTAAAGTGAATTTTGAAGCAAATCAATTGTAGAAAATCAAGTTGACTTGAACTGATGAAATGTTTATGCAATGACATAATTGTAATGTTATAATTACCAAATAAGTATATAGTCTATAAAAACGTGTTAAAAATGGTTAAATTCGTACAGTAGTTTCTACTTAAAATATATAAAATTTACAATAATTTCATGGTAAACACAGTAAAATTTTTACAAGCCTTAATGCACACAGCTTAAGCTATCAATGTTGTTTTTCTTACAAGTACATTCTCGCTTTCCGATCTTATTCAAATTTACATCGTTTAAAACATAGAGATAGTCTAAATTTATTTAAAAATCAATCAATAGGCGAACCCGACGCCATTCACCATATGTTTTTGATTAGTGGTTGAAAATCAACTTTGAAGTCGCAAACATAGGTACTGCATACTAAAAGGGAGTTTTATGAAAAGGTTTGAAAATCAATAATTAAAAATATTATACAAAAGATAGAAATAAATACCAGAAAACACAATTCAAAATGTTCTCACCGATATTCATAAACGTCATCACTGTATCTTTCCGAGTATTGTATTTGATCCACCGGCATCTTTAAATAATTCAATTTACACTATATTATACAAACAGGATTCTATTTAAACTGTCCAATTTTCTGATAAGAATAAATTTATCTTTAAGTAATAAAAAATCAATTCATAGAACCACTTCTTAACCGCTCGCTCCTCGCTCAGCTGAAATCTGTCAATTTTGACAAACGTTTTTTACTAATTTACGAAACATATGACAACTGTTCTAAAACTACGTTTTTTTCCAAAAATAAATTTTAACTTATTTATTTTTGGTTAAATAAACGAAAATATATTGAATATCATAAGTTTGAATATTATAAAACAAAAAAAATATAGAATAAAATATACAAAAACCTGCAACTAATTTAATTTAATGATGTAATAAATAGTTTTTGAACGTTACTTCGCTGATGGAGCGAGTGTTTTAGTCACGATGACATTTTCGATCTTTATTGACATTACCGGAATCCGATCAATATCGATTTTTAATCGACTTTTTTCTTCAAATAGTAAATTGCTCAATTTACGCAACTGCAACCTTAAGGGTTCCCATCCATAAATTCAGAAAGTGTGCTAAATGATTTATTGACACGAAATATTTCGAAAAATACATAAACTTAAGTAACAGCACATAGTGAAGTTAAGGATAGTAAAATGTGACATTGTTATTATATTAGGAAGTCGCACGGAAGCCTGCCTGCCTGCCTATTGCTGCTATTCAGTATACTTTTGAAAATGACAGCTCTAAACCGTAAAATTACAACTTTACAACTAAGAATATTTTATATTAGAACAAAATTATATTGTTACGCAAGTGGGAAGTACAAAACCATTGACGTCGTCATTAGCTAGGGGGGTCATTATTCAATCAGAGCGACCCCACACCACTGCAATTCAATAATGCTTCCCCGGCGTACGCTGCCCAACAGCTGCACTTTGTTTTAGGACATCGATTTCTTTAGTTCAAATTTTATAATAATAATAAGCCTTTTATTTAACAATAATTGTTACAAGTTAAATAGTTATATCCATAATAACAAAAGAACTGTCATGTAGGCCTCCTCCATGTTTCTCCACTTGTCTCTGTCAGTTCAAACTTTTTAGTTATAGTTTGTTTCTGAGACTAAAATCCCTTTATTAAACATATCATCCCTCTTATTGGCTTTGGCTAAACATATATAACAATATGTTTTATAAAATACGCTCGGTCGCAAAAACGAAGAATTAGTAATGTTGCACTAATCTTTATAGCTAAAATAACTAAGTTCCACTCATCAAAGCTTCAATATACAATTAATAGTTGGAATAAGGTAGTAATTCTTACATTATTTTTCTGAATCTGCGAATCTTACACGACTGTTCCCTAAACAAAGACAAATAAAGTTGTGGCATATGCTCAAAGTAATCCACTGTTCTGTATGATGCGAATATATTGATTCATATATTAAAATGCGAATCTCTCGTATAACAATTTCAAAAAATATTTACTACCATATGTATTGAATATTATCAATACAATGGAATGTAAATTTTGTCCGGAATGTTGGCATAAGTTTGGTCGCAGTCAGTATCAATTGCCGATAATGAGAGCTGGTATTGCATTCCCGCCGCTGCCGTGAACCGATCCCAGGTCTGTCAGTTGGAGTCCTCGGTTCCTCTGCAGTTGTCGGCCAGCCATGAGTACGATCACGCTCGAGTTTTTACAAGACCTCCTTAAAGAAGACCACCCTGATGTAGACATTCAAGAATTTGAGGTAAGTATAGGACTAAGGGAACATTCGACAATAAACAAGGAAATATGAGAAGAATGTAAAATAGCATAATTAGAATGCATGAATTAAAATTACTATCGCCTGTGATGGTAATGGTGGCCTTAACCAGTTGGCCGTTTGTTTGTTGACCACCGTATATATTTTGGAGTTCTTTCACTTTTGTCGATTTCATTTATTCCAGGGTGCACCAGGGACAAAAAGAGGCGATAACTACACCTCCATGGTATATCGAATTTCCCTGAAAGGAATTAAGAAGAAAGAAGAGGAATCCGAAGCATGGGAAGGTTCAATAATCTACAAATGTCTACCAGAAAGTATTTTAAGAAGAGAAGCATTTAAAAGTGATGAGCTGTTTTGCAATGAAGTAGCATTTTATAATAAAATCTGGCCAACGTTAGCCAAGTTCCAGTCACAATGGGACAAGGTCAATCATCCATTTAAAGCTATACCTAAATGCTATTTAGCTCAAAATGACTTGGTTATCCTAAAAGATCTTAAACAACTCGGTTTTGTGATGCCAGATCGAAGACAAGGGCTGACTATTGAACAATGTTACTTTGTTCTTAAACATCTGTCACATTTCCACGCATTATCGATGGCGATGAAATGCCACAATCCTGAAGGTTTTTATGAATTACTTAATATACAGGATGGTATATCCGAAGGTAAGTCCGCTTGTTTGTCTGTCTTTTCTTAATCATCCCTCTGACTATATAGACTAATCACTACAAATGAGTAGCCGACTGCTTGGAAATGACAGTTTTTGCTTCGTTCCGATTCAAACGCTCCTGTTGAAGTTACGAGTAAGTAAGTTATTTTTATAATTCCTTGTCAGTATTCTTCGTACCGGAAAACGTCGACTATTATAGAAGTTATTACACAGAGGCTATTCAGAACGCAATAGCAATGGTAGAAGAGGAACTCCGGGATTCCGAAGACAAGGAACTTTATTTAGAAAAGTTTCGCGAGTTCGGAAGCGAGGAGACCTTCTTCCAGACCATGATGGAGCTTGCGGCGCCTCGGGAACCCCTCGCTGTCATCTGCCATGGAGACTGCTGGACCAATAATCTGCTGTTTCGCTTTGTCAACGGTGATATTGCTGAGGTAAACTTCTTCTGGCTACAAATTCCAGACTTTTTAGGAAAATCTGTATTTAGCGACACGTATAATATTTGGAATAACTTAAACATTAATAACTAAGAAGATGAAAAGAAAGAAACATGATACCTATGTTTACCTATCGAGCTGGCTTGTATATTAATCTGAGTAAAAATAATTTCCAGATGTACATGGTAGACTTCCAACTGGCGCGGTATGCGTCTCCTGCGCTGGACCTTGTGTACGTGATGTACCTGTGCCTGGGGCGGGAACAGCGCGCCGCGCACCTGCCCTCGTTACTGGAGTACTACACGGACGAACTGCACGCCCGCCTCGCGGACATGAGCGACGAGGACTCCTCCTTCCACACAACTCTCAACAGGGACGCGTTATTCGAAATGTTAGTACATTTAATACAACGCCATCTATAGTCTGGTAAAAGAAACCTTTTTCTTCGTACAAATAAATTGACTAAAATAATCCTTTCGAACAAACGTTAATACAGAGTGCAAGATGAGTTCAAACGCTGTAGTCAGTTTGGTCTTGGCATCGCTCTGGACATGTACCCAATCATGACATGCGACAGTGATGAAGCTCCGAACCTTTATCAGACTAAGGTACGTTCTTTGTTTTTTTAACATGCTGAATTTCTATGCAGAAGAGCACGAGAGTAAAAATATAAATTTTCCAGGAGAGTGAAGTTTGCTCGTCACACGAGTGTGTAAAGCCTGTGTGGACATCCAACGCGGCTTGCAGGAAGAAGATGACGGATCTTGTTCAGGAGCTGGTGGACGGAGGGCTGCTCTGAACACTTACTTTATTGTTGTTCTTTTCTTATTTATTTAATGTGATTATGGAGTAATAAAGAATTAATTATTAATACTTATTTTAGCAATTTTTACAATTTACTGTTTTATATTATATATTAAATACTTGAATTTACTTCAAAGACAAACTGAAACTAGTAAACACTTACGTATACGTATTATTTTTGAATCTCATTGAGTTGTAACGTTAGTATTTGGCAGTAAGTAAAAAAGGAAAATAAAATGACAATCTTGTGTAGTATAAAATTATATTGTATTTTGTTTAGTAAATAAACACATACAACAAGAGATTTGTGTTAAAACTTACATTTATATAATTTATATTTTAACATGCGATGTAAATATAGTTTGTGACGAGACAATTGTTTACGAATTGTGTATAAAATGACTATTACACATAATTACAATATGTATGATATCAGATCTTTACTATACAAAACTACTTTACGATAAATTTTATGAATTTTCTATTTCATAAGAGACCTGCAGCCGTATTTTTTCGCTTAATGTTTATGAATATTTTAAACAAGTTTTAATATAATATTAATTCAATCTGCTTTGTTCCTATATTTTCTGTAAATAAATGTAAAAATAGCACATTTATCCGTGGGAATAATTATTTATTGTTAGTAAATAAAAAAATATATAAGTTTACCCGTACATAATCGTGGCACAATAATTTATAAACGTGTAAAGCTTATTTCTTTAAATCGATGATATTCTTAAAAATACAAACAACGTACGGGTTCAATCGTGTCTACATTGTAGCATTTTACTCATTAAAAATATTTCATTCTATAATAACAGATCTATTCCTTTAATATTACTAATTAAATCAGTCATTGAAAACTTCAGATTATTTGTTTGACTTTGAGATTCTACTAGCACCTTTATCTGAAGATTCCAATAATATTTTTTTTTTTAATTTAACGGTTAATATTTTTTCTTTAATACTTTCTGACTTCTTTTATACAACGAGGAGTAACAAAACTGTTCCTGTACAAAGTTCAATTTGGTTCACTTAACACTGGCCCTGACACTGGGTTGTGACGTCACTCCGGGCGTTCCTCTCCCCTTCGAGGCCTGCGTAGGCCTCATGAAGCCCGACGTCCTAGGCAAGGTCTTTACGGGGGGCCTGGCCGCGCCCACTGAGCTGCCGCTGGACGAGGAGCGCGAGGCGGGCGTGCGCGGCGCCGGCTTCGGCACGGGTCGGGGCGCCACCTTTACCGGCGCCGGCGGCGCCCTCTTCACAGTCGCTACGGAGGCTGAGCTATTCAGGGAGCTTCTTGAACTGCGCAGCGACGCCCTCGATGTCGACCTCTCCACTCTTAACGAGCTGGCTCGTTTTGCGAAGCTCCGTTTGGGGTCTATGGGCGTCCGCAGCGGTGGCTTGGTCTCTTTGGTGGGAACTTTCTTTGGAACACCGACACTCTTCTCTACCTTGGGTATGGGAGACTCGCAATCAA